TTGCCTTCCTACAAAACGAAACACCATTTATAAACTTCGTTTCTCTGAGAAAATGGGTTTGGAGTTCCAACCAACTGACTTACAAATGAACTTTCTGTGCACAGATCATTCATAAATTGAGGACTGCCTGTACTGGGCTTGTAACCCAGAGATAACATTTATCTGTGCTTTATCAGTATGGGCTTGTCAAGTTAACTTATGTTTACTCTTTTCTGCATTCGTTTTCATGATAGCCTTGCTCTTAAAATTTAATACCGTCTTTATGTTTGGAGAAACATTTCCTTTGGAGGTGCCTCAAATATTCTCGTGAATTGGAATAGTGATTTTATTTTATCTACCAATTTATCTTTAGTACGATTCATGGCTATGAAAATCTTTTGCGCAGGGAGTCTGTAAATTGTAGAGAAATTGAGAACTATTTTAAGGAAGTGGGGGAAAAAAAGAATTCTTTGCTCGTATTACCCCGGGTTGTCAGATATCTTGTAGTATAATTACTGTGTTGGTTTGTAAAGGTTAAAGAAGGCTGAAGTTTGTAATTCTCTTTTGTGTATGTGTTCCACACATACACGGGTAAAGTCCAGCACATCAAAGCAAAATGCCTTGCTAACATCAAAGTTCTGAGCAGTTTATAGTTTGTCGACACAGAGACATAATTCACGGATTTTACATTGGCTTTTACAAACATCTGATGAATCAGTTATTTGCTCCAAGGAGCCAATTTGCAGATTACAAACCTTGTGTATTTCAAATCTGTTTATGGGTGTAATGCATGCACCGAACTATTCTTGCTGGCATCCTATTGTAAAGCAAAAAGGTAGAACCCTGGTCTTGGAGCTGCTCCTTCTTAGGGAACTTAACTATCCATATACAAGTGAAAAATTCTGTTAGCTGAGCAGCTGACAGAATATGATCACAAGTGTTACTGATGCTGTTCTGTTCAGAAGCAGAAATAGAATGCCCAGGATGGTGCAAGCTTGTCATAGTTAGATTGTCAGGGTGATGTCCTGCTGCATTAAAAAGAATACTTTGTTCCCTCCTCACGCATGCACCCCTGCAGTGGTAAGAAACTGTTGCAGCTGTTACTCGGATTTGCACTTGAGGCTCAGATTCTGATGCTAGTGTAGTTAAAATTTAGTTACTAGCAGTCAGGTTTAATGGTCTTCCCCTTCTGTTTAAATCAGTACTGTGGCCCTAGTTGCTAGAAACATTTCCTTTTAGTTTCAAGTTGTTGTATCGTTCGCTGGTTTTTCTTTACTGTCAAAACTATGAGAACAATGTTGATGTCATGATCTTTCTGTCCTCCCCCTCCCCAGTCTGCAATCACTTTCTCCCAAATTGTCCTCGTAGATTTCAGGCACCTTTATGTTAAATGATCAGTAATTGACTTAACAGAAATTGAACTGCAAAGCTGTGGTTTAATACAAAGAAGCCTACATGAGTGTGAAAGAAAGCCCTTTATGAACTGTAGAGTACTATAGAAAAGTGGGGCATTATAATTAAATACTGTCAGGTTATTACTGAGCATTGACTGTCAAAACATGTAAAAGGCAACTTATATTTTCCCCATAAGTACACTGCTTATGATGTTCCAAGAGTAGCTAGAAGTTGCTCCAATCCGGCAAGGGAGTGTTTGGGGGAATCCAGAGTTCTAAAATGCCAACAAAAGTCATTAATTAAGGGAGAACTCTGGGAGCTCCCTCCTTAAGACCCCACAAGAAACATGGTACCATCTGAATTTTTCAGCCATAGCCAGACAAAAGCAGAATAGGGCAGTGTACTTTTCATATCTGGATGCAAAAAACATGAAATGCTGAATGTAGAATAGAAATCATTAAGTTTAATGGATTTCTCTTTTATGACCAGCTTGAGTTTACAGCTTTCTAGATATCTGGAGATCCATGAAAGTTTTATTTTTATGATTTCAACTTAAATCTTAATATAATCTGCTCTTAACTTTCAGTGTCATGAAGAAATCCTTTTTCTCTCTTTCTGGAGGACCTGCCCCCCTCCGCCCCCCTTGCCCTGCCAGTTAGTCTTGCAGGTTTCAGCACTGATACTGCTTGGATTCATTTGTAGATTATACGCACCAAATGGGGTTGGCACCTCTTCATGAAAACTGGACCCAGTGGGCTACTTATAGTCACTGAATGTGCTTGTCTCCGTGGAAGTTTATGTTTTACAGCTGACATGCCACTGACCAGAGTAACCTGTCATAAAACAAGGCACTTCATCTCTTTTGTGCCTTCAGTTCTGAACATTGAAGCCAAAACATATGAAGAGACTTTATTGACATTTAAAGAGACCTGATTAACCCTATGTAGTAAAATGGTTTTCGTGGGACGTCTTTGAGAAACGCTTTCATGTTTGATTCCTGGAATGTTCGAAGACTACAGGCAGTGTGCTTTTTGTGGTCAAAAGCCAGCATTATCCAGAGACCTTTCAGAGTCGTGCAGAAATACTCTTTGCTATTGTTTTTTGTTATCATGTTGATGATGGTTATTATTGCAAATGAATAAATTGGCATTCTGATTTTTTAACGTAGGTATTCCCTTAAAAACACTGTTGACTTCTGTGAAAAAGGTTGATTTCCTGGAACCGATAATATTATGAGGTTGTTTTGTAGGCAGTTATTGGCATGTTTATCAGATAAATCAAACATCAAATGGGCCACGGGGAGTGGTTTTCCAATACCTTACCCTTGCAGTTTGTTCCCTAAAGAAAATCATGTTGCCTCCTCACTTGGAGACAGCATTGCTTTTAGGTCCCCCGTCCTCATGATTTGGAGAAGCCTAAAACCGAGGCCTCAGAGCACCCCATCAGTATTTCTTTTATGAGCTTTAAACTGGGTATGAAAAGGCCTGTCCACTTAAAGCTTTTGCCTGTGAAGATCAAGCAGAGATTGATTTTTAGCCACTGTGCTCATGGGGAAACCAAATGCAGTAGCCAGGATTGAAAGAAGCAGATAGAAAGAAAAAGCAAAATAATCTCTCTGGCACCCACCTGACAATGTCTCCAGAGGAAGAGGATCGATATCTTCTGATATTCACAATTAAAGAAATTGCTGGAATTCTGCATCACATATGCTCTACCCATCAAGACCTCTCACCCAGGGAAGACAAATATTCTTTATTCAGGAGATGGGAAGCAGGAGGCGTTAAGAGCTGTATAGCTAATAAATGTACAATCTTTCATTTTTGCTATATTCACAGAGTTGTACATTCGTCACCACCCCACAAAGAAACCCAATATGCATTGGCAGTCGCTTCCCATTTTCCCCTAGCCCTTCACCCCCAGCTCCTGACAAGCACTAATCTGTTTTCTCTGTAGATTTGACTATTCTCGACATTGCATATGAATAGAATCGTACAATACATGGACTTTTGTGTCTGGCTTCTTGCCCTTAACATAATGTTTCCAAGCTCCGTCCTCACATTAGCAGGTATCCACAGTGATTCCTTGCTAAGACTGAATAGTATTCCATTGTATAGATGTACCACGTTTTGCTGATCCACTCGTGAGTTGATAGCCATTTGGAGTGTTTCTCCTTTTTGGCTATTGTGAATAATGCTGCTATGAACATTCCCAAACAAGCTTCTGGGTGGGCATGTTTTCATTTCTCTGTGTAGCTGACTTGTAGGCAAGTCACATAAATCAAGACAGTAAATGATTTTTTCCCCTCGTTTGTTTGCTTCATTACTATTTCTTCTTCCCTATCTCACTGTCCTAAAGATAATTTTCCTTGAGAAGGTGGTTGTTAGAAGAGTAAGAACCTCAATTAATTTTTTACTAATCCCAACCACCAGACTCTCTCCTAAGCACTGGGTATGTGTTAACAGCATTTCTCAGATGGTCCTCACTTTCCACTTGCCACATGGCTGGGGTCTAGATGGGCTCCTAAAGCCTGAAGCATTCAGCCAGGAAGTGGGAGGAGCTGGGATTTGGACCCACATCTGTTTTGCTCTTCATCACAGTGCTCTCTGCTGTCAGTCCTCATCCTAAGATTAACCTACTTGTTCACCACTCAGAGAATTCTCTTTCTGTTCATGGTGCCTCCCCTCCCTCTGATTTGGTCATGAAAAGTAGGAAATGTGGCTCAAGACCCTTTATCATAGGCCTGTGGACCTGGAGCAGCCATCAGTAGTCCCTCTGGACAAAGTGATCATTTCCCTCTCTGATGGAGGGGCTCAGTCCAGCCTGGCTCTTCTTATGCTCTGCCCCTACTCTCTGTCTCCTCACCTGAACTTCACCTCCTTCCTGCCGGACCCACACATCCTGCCACACCTACAGCCTGTTTATCCACTCGAGCCAACACGCTTTACACCCGTCCACATTTGAAAACCTCAAACTCCGCGACTCCCTCCGCTGGGCACAGCCTGGAGTCCCCTGCATTTTCCTCCCATCCGCTGCCCCTCCCTTCCCACTTTCTTCGAAACTTACCATCACTCTGGCTTTCTGCAGAGGAATATTTACTCTTCTTGCTTTTTGAAAATCTCGAGACATAAATCCTTCACCTGTCTCATGTCTTCGGTTCTGTGCATGGCCCCGATCCCACGGCCTCAGATGTACTAAGTGGGGCTGACCTCCAGGATCAGATACACTGCATACCAGACATGCGAGGCATCAGGAATTTGGAGGAGTCTTTTGGAGGCCGGTTGGGTAGGAAGCCTGAGTTTTATAGAATGTTTCTTGACATTCTTCTGATTTTATGTTTCCAGGAGTTTCTCTAAGTTATGTACAAGCCATCCTAATTGCTCATTCCCATTCCCTCCTTTGGAATGCAGGAGAAGGGAACATGAAAGGGTCATTTTTCTCCTCTATATAGGAGAGGAGGTTGAAATTTTGGGCTAAAATAACGTTGGGGATTACATGTGAATTTCAGCCACCTCTGCCCTCCCGCCTACCAGACAATGGAAAAAAGGCCTTTAATGGCTAAGAAGGTCATGAAGCGGGGAAAATAAGCCTTGCCAGATCTTTCGTGATGAGAGATTTGTGTCTTCAAGGGAATCCAGAAAGTTCCACTTGACAGAAGAGGTGACAATCAAAGGGATTTGCTGCAGTGTCTGTGAGAGGGTTAAAATGAAGAGTTTTGTTTGAGTCTGAAGCCCTTTACTTTTGCTGACCGGTCCGTTCTGCCTGAGCGCCCAGGGCTCCTTCAGAGGGGAGTTGGAGAGGAGCCAGGTGGGTACAGATTGGTCTCTGTCCTGCTATCTTTACCGCCCCCCACCCCAAGAACCACCGCATTAAGGGCATGTCTGATGAAATCACTCCCGTGTTTATCAGGACATTTTTACAGCTCTTTTGTTCTAAATTTAACTGATGGCCAATGAGAGACTTAATAAATCAGGTAAGTAGAAATAGGCAAAATTGGCCTTTTTGTGTCCTGAGGATAAATCTAAACAAACCTCCCTAGTTGGGAGATGTCCAGCTGTTGCATTGGCCAAATTTGAATGAATTATGAAGATGGAATTATCCACCTGGGCTCGGAGGGTAGTCCTGCCTACTCTGGGGGTGGGGGGTGTGTGGGGGGGAGGGCCGTCTTACCAAAGCCCCACGCATAGGAAGCTTCACTGAGTGTGTCTGTTTTGCAAAAGTTGAGTCAGTCTCCTCGATGGTCACTTGTGAGGGTTTTTGTTTAATTACTAATTTTTTTTTCTGAAATATATTGAAAATATACTAAAATTTAAAAAATTAAACATATATTAAAAATAACCCCTAAACCTCTCGAAAATTAAGTCCCATATTTTATTTCATATTTGTGTCCTTGCCATACTTGTTTTCTTTCTTTTAACTAAGAGAATTAACTAATTTGTTTTAAGTCAGTAAAAGTATAAAAGATGCCCAATAGATATCCGAGGAAAAATAAGTTTTTTAGTTCTGTTCCGTCATTGAATTCATTCCTAGAGGCAAGCTCCATTACTGTTTTCTTTTCTTATTGTTCCTTTATCCTGAAATACCTTTCAGGATATTTTATAACTATATAAACAAAAATATGTTTTTTTTTTAAAAATAATATTTATACCATACAAACTGTTCTGCTCTTTACTTTTTTTTTTTTTTTTTTTTTTTTTTACTTAACTTGTATCCTGGAATATTTCTTTGTCAGAACATAGAGAGCAGCCTTACTCTTTTTAGTATCTAAATAGTACTCGGTTGAATGATTTTGCTACACTGTATTCTATCCCACATTGATGGACTTTCGGTTGTTTCCAATTATTTGCTACTATGAACAATACTTGGGTGAATTACCTTCTATAAATAGCATTTTATATGTCAGCAAGGATCTCTGGAGGAGAAATTACTCAAGTGGAATTGTTGGATCAAAAGGAATGTGCAGTTTTAATTTTGGTAAACCTTGCCAAATTGCCCTCCAATTTGGCATCTGTACTAATGTATGCTCCCACTAGCACTGCGTGAGTATGCCTTTTCTCCACAGACAGTGTTATTAAACTTCATGGTCTCTGCCAATCGAAGAGGTGAAAAAAATACTATCTTTTGGTAGCTTTCATGGGAATTCGCTCATTACAGTGATGATTGAATATGTTTTCACATGTTTAAGAGCCATTCCTATTTGCTTTTCTAAGAAATGTATGTTGACGTTCATTGCCGGTGTTTTCCTGGGTTTTTGGTCTTAACAGCTAATTGATTTTTAGGAGCACTTACTAGCTCAATAAAATTAGTCCTTTTGTCTTGTACTTTTTAATTTTCCCATTTATTTTTTGACCTATTTTTTTTTCATGCAGGGTTTGTTTTTAAAATTATATAGTCTTATCAGATTTTTTCTCTGGCTTTTCACTTTTTGATAGACATAGGCCTTCTCCAGTCAAACATTATCTAAAAAATGGTCTCATAGTTGTGCTTAGTATTTTTTAAATCATAGCTTTATTGAGATAGAATCCACATACCATAAAATCCACTCTTTTAATGTGTACTATTTAGTGGTTTTAGTGCATTTACAGAGTTGGGCAACCATCACCACAATCTAATTTCAGAACATTTTCATCACCCCCAAAAGAAACCCCATATCCGTTAGCCGACACTCCCCACCCCCCCAAGCCCCCAGTAACCACTAATCTGCTTTCTTTATGGATTTGCCTATTCTGGACACTTCATATAAGTGGAATCATATAATATGTAGCTTCTGTGACTGGCTATTTCTACTTAGCATCGTGTTTTCAAGGTTCTTTCTGTATTTTTATGTTTTCAGTTTTTACATTTAAATCTTCTGTCACTCTGGAATTTTAGTGTAGGATGGTAACTAGGGATCTAATTCGAGTTTTTCCAGGTGGCTATTGTCTTGTTGGAAGGAACTTTGTTTCCTGGAGTTTGTAAGTATTTGTAAGTATTGAAAGTTCCTTCTCCCATTATCATGCACTGAATTCAGTATGTATTTGAGTTTATATATTTCCTGTTGATCTTACTTGCTATTCATGTGCCAGTGCACACTGATGTAATTTCTGGGGCTTTATAATATTCCCATTACCGCTATGCTAGTCTTTCCTTATTGCTTTTATAAAGCATCATTTCTGTGGATATTCTTTCCTGTTTATTTTTCCATATGAACTTCAGAGTTAACTTCCTCATGGCATTGTTTGACATTGTATCAAGTTTATAGATTCATTTGGGGAGAATTACTGTCTTTCTTGATAGTGACTTCCTGTTTAAGGACAAGGTAGAGCTTTCCAGATGTTCCTGTCTTCTCTGTTCCTCAGCAGTGTTTAAATTTTTTTTCCATCGATCTTGCATATTTCTCATCCAGTTTATCATCCAAGTATTTTATATTTTAGTTGTTAAAAATGGGGTATTTTTTTTACTGGCTGTCATTTAGGAACGCTATTGATTTTTGCATATGACTTTTGTTAATTACCTTATGGATTCTCTAATTGTCTACAGTAGCTGTTTAACTGATTCGCTCAGATCTGCAGCCACAGCAAATGCAAATAATGATTTTACTGCCTCTTTTCCAATTTTGTACCGCTTCTTCCTTTCTCCTTTGTAATTAAATTGGCTAATTCCGCCAGAACAGCGTTAAATCACAGCGATGATGGTGGACAGCCTGGTGGTGTTTCTGACATTAATGGAAAGCTTCTCGTGTCTCCCCCATTAGCAGTGAGGCTGCCTTTGGGGTTGGGCATGGTTACTGTCCATTTGGGGTTTGCAGGGCTTTATCATGAGCAGAGAGCAGTGTGGAAAGTGCTGGGTCTCACTGAATTGTTTGCAGAGGTGAAGCCTGCTCTGCCAATTCTCTTGCAGTGATGTAATGGTAGGCTGATTTTCCTCACCGACACTGAGGAGTTTGAGTGGGAAGTCCATGCTGGAAAGGAAGAAGGTAGCAATTATACCCTAATCTCCTGCTATTTTTCTTTTGCCAATCAAGTGAAGAGACCAAGGAGCTATAGGAATATATAGCACCATATTTACCGATCCATGAGGATTAGGTAAGGACTTTTGCTAAAGGAGAAATGGAGGAGAGGAGGGAGAAAGGGGTAGGAAGGAAGAAGAGGTAAAAATGTCATTTTCTTCGCTGTCCCTTTCCCCCACCAAATCAAGCCACATGAGAAACCAAAAGACTTCTGGGGTCATTTTTTCCCCCCAGAATATTATTAGCAAAAGAATGGCACAAAACACGAATTGTCAGCAAATGTGATGGAGAGTTTCAGAAAAGGCTTAGCAGAAGTAGTGAAATCTTCTACTATTTGTAAGCAGAACTGACTAATAAAGAGTTCCAAATATTGAGAAATCACTGAAGGGAAAAGGCATTCCCTGTTGGAACATGTTTACATGTTGCTTCTTTTTGATGTTGCCATTAAGAGAGTGTTTTGATCTCTTGCAAAGAAACTGGAGAGGTATTTTATGTGCTAACCCTGAACCTGACATTACTCTAGTAATAAACACTAGGACGGGCTGTCCCTTGCATTAGCAGAACTAGAAAACAAACAGAAGACAGTGACAATTGAGGCTTCCATGCTTGTTGGAAACATTTAATATACAGAGTTGGTAGGTTGTGGTTAAAAACAAAAGTTTAGGCTGACTCCACAAATTAGAGAAACTGATGGATGATTTTGGGGGACTCACTATGCAATCATCTGTATGATATGCAAGAAAGAGATAGTCCTGGGGAGTGAACAGACTGCATGGATGTGCCCCCCCCAGAGGACATGAGCATTCCTGGCTGGTCAGAGCCCCAGATGTGACTTTCACACTGCAGGAGTCACTGGCTCTGGGCGCGTGTCTCAAGTGTGTCTTCTCACCTTCTTACTGAGTGGTGTGCTAAGAAGAAAAGAACAAGGGCTTGGAGCAAGAGCCTCTGGCTCTGCCATTTGCTGGCTGTGTGAACTTGACCAAGTTCCTAAACCTTTCTGAGCTTACTTGCTCATTTGAAGTCATGCCTACAATTCAGGAGTTGTGTGGATTTATTAGAGATGCTGTACCCATCTAGCACAGTGCAGGGCCTTGCAGAGAACAATCACTCAATAAGTGTTTAGAGATGGGCCAGAGGAGGCAATAGGGAGAGGGAAAGAAGGAAGAATTCCATGTGACAGGCGCCATGATACACAGAGGGTGGGTGCTGGGGAAACTCATACAGAGAATCACACCAGGACGGGGATAGAGAAGTATTTATTGGAAAGATTTCTCTGAGAGACGAGTTATGAAGACTAAGTAGGCAACATGTTCTAGGGAGTGCATGTTCTACGGCAGCATTTTCAAAGGCATGGGCTTGAGGAGGGAGTCAAGGAGGCTTAAACCCAGGGAAGCGGGAGTAAGCGATCGTGGCCAAGGCGGTGAGAAGTTGCAAGCTGGGAGAAGGGAGCGGTTGGCCGACCTGGGGTTGGAGAAGGCCTTGTTGGTCATGCCTGGAATATGGTTACAATGGGGGTGACTGGAAGCGTGAGGGCACAATTGAATTCATATTTTGGAAACCTGGCAGCAGGGTTTATGGGGCAGGTTTAGAAACTGGCGGGAGGGACTGGGGTCTGAACCATGGTGATGATTTTTTCCATATTTCCCACAAATCCTGGCGTGGTGCCGAGCACATAGTAGGTTTTCAGGAAAAACTTCTGGATGGACTTGAACAGAAGCTGTTGTTTTGTCCGGCATCATCTTTTCCATGATTCACTTGCTTTACCATTTATAGATTAGTCTCGTGGATTTGATCACTTCCCCCCAAATTATCTTTCGCC